TGTGAAGGGGAGCTAGGATTTGAACTCATGCAGAATGCACTCAGAGCTTGTGGTTTTAATTCCTCTATCAATCTGTCTGTCCCAAAACTTTCTGCATGAATTACACAACGATCCTAGTCCACTTGCTCTTATTCTGGACCAAGAGTCAGGATTTGACTATTTGGCTTTCTGCTGTGCTTAAGGAAAGGTGCACTATACTTCAAGAAACTCATGAATATCAAAACCTTAATCACAGCTATTTGGATGACATGAGTTCATGCTTTACAAACCAACCATGGCCCCAGTCATATTAAAATCAAATGCAAAATAAAGAAACATTCTCCCAAACCTTGTCTGCTTCATTTAGATAACAGTGTGCAAAATGAATTCAAAGATAAAAATGCTTAGCATTACCATTTCCTTTCCTTTTAATTTCTTTTTAAGCTCTGTGGTGTTATGGATGATATCATCAGGCAATTTGGTTTGAATATGTTCCACACTGGACTGTGCAGATTACCTAACTAATGACATGCACACTCCTTGCCATTGTGACACCTCTCTTCTTACAAGTGGGAATTTCAAGTGACAGACTAAAGCTGTTTGCTATCAATTTTGCAAAAAACACATCTGCCAGATAGCCACAATTTAGTTCAGAGACCAAAATCGATTAATATTCTAATTTGTTACCTGTCATTAGTGTCACACTATATTATGCCAAGCCAAAAGTGATAACCTTTATATAACATATGCTCCTAAAGGAATTTGATTTTAGGGATATGTTTTATTTTTGCTTAGTGTTGTCCCTTGTATACAAATCCCATTAGAAATTTCAATTACATAGGCAGTAAAAATTGTGATGGATTAAAATGAAAGTGTAAAATATGCACTGTTACAATCTTTTATTAAAACTGCATGACTGTATTTATGATATGGTTTTTCTAACACCTATTTACTCTACCACCAGACGATTTTAGGTATTTTGCTTGTTCTTTTCTATCATATTAAGGAGAGTGGTAGCAACATAATAGTTTTCGTAGGTGTTACTCAGGTCCTCTAGTATTCTAGTATGTAAGATAGCTGGTCAAAAGCAAATCTCTACTGAGGGGGAGACTTATTATCTGGTCTGATTTCTAGTACCTAATAAAGGAACACAAGAACTGGGCAATGACTTGGCAAAAAATGAGATAAGATTAGCTAAGGTAACAAAAGAAAAGAGAATTTCATATACAAATTTTTTTCCAGCTGATGGTTTTCATACTGATAAACCGGAAGGAAAAAAATAGTAGCTGGATCTAAGTTTAAAAAGGCTAAGAGATGTAGGGGCTGCCATCATAAAATGGCATTGCTTTTTCAATGTGACAACATAGCTTAGTGCTGAAATGATGTTTTCTTTAGTACTTGAAATATAACATTTATATTTTAATAATAGGCTTTAATTTTTCAGAATCTTAAAGCCTCAAAGTCTAAGAAGGATGGTTTGGGATATGTTAAATTGACATTCACTCATTTATCCATTCATCAAATTCATATTGAGTGCCTTGTGTATACTTGGCACCAGCACCCAGCAACTGGACCATGTATGAAACAGACCCACCCTCTCACCATCATAGGATTTACATTATTTTTGGAGGAATCTGGAAAAATTTTAAATCAAATAATAAAACACATAGAATAGAATGTGGTTCTAAGCAATGTAGTAAGAAATAAACCAAGGACTAGAGACAGGACATGCTCTCAAGGTTGGGGATACAATTTTAAATGTGTAGTTGGGGAAGTCCCAAGTAAGAAGCCGACAGTGGGAAAGACCTAAAGGAGAGGAGTAGATAAGTTGTGCTGATAAATGGGGAACATTTCCTTCACATGGTTATCAGCCTTGTCATGTGCCTCACTGTTTACTCTTCCAGAGGAGGAGAGTGTGTTGAAGAAAGATAGGTTATGCATTTGATGTGGTATTATTCAATACTTTCTCTGCTTCCCTATAACACATTTCTCTCACAGCTGATAGTTTAATAAAATATTCTATAAGTGGGAGTTTGTACCAATAACACATGCATTTGGCTTCTATCTGGTTGTTGTAACCTCAAAATACCTGGAGTTTATATATCAGTCCATTAACTCAGCAGCAGAGCAAAGAAGGGAACTGAGATCTTGCTATTCTCACCGTAGGGCTCATTTAATGGACCATCTCCAACCCTTCTCTATTATAGATCTTCCTGCAGAGGATGATAGTTATTGACAACTCTGTCAAGAGTGTGTCTCAGATGAACCTGAACTTGTTAAAAGTGGATGGAGAAATGAATGTCTCTAATGACTGAGGGATAAGAAGTTGATTCCTCTTATTTTTTATTTGGTCTTTCAGTATTCTTATAATATACTCCTATAAAATTTAAAAAAATCTCTCATCTAAATTATTGCAATAACATGCTTTATCTTTTGTCCCTATGTAAGCCATTTTCAATACTTGAGCAAGAATGATCTTTAAAAAACCTACGTTAGAACAGGGGATACCTCTGCTCAAAAATGCTCAAAAAACCCTGCATTTTATTTCACTTGGTAAAATCCAAGTTTCTTAAATACTCCACAAGGCCCCACATGATATGGCTTTTGCTATAGACAAATTCAACTTCTGCCACACTCTGCCTTGTTCATTCTACTTAAGACACCTCAGACTTCTTGATAATCCCAGGCAAAAGTTTGTCTAAGTGCCTTTGTCTTATTTTCTAGATTTTATGATAGCTTCCTCCTTTACTCCCTTTTGGTCTTTTTATGAAGGAAATTGGTCCTGATAATTGGGAAAAGGCAGTCTCTTCAATAAGTGGTATTGAGAAATCTGAATATCAATATACAGAAGAATGAAATTAGACCCTTATCTCGTACCATATAAAAATCAAATAAAAAATGGACTAAAGACATAAATATAAGATCCCAAACTATAAAATAACTAGGAGAAAACATAGGGGAAAAGTTTCATTACATTGGTTTGGGTCATGACTTTCTGGTTTTGACCCTCAAAGCACAAGTAATCATGACAAAAATGAAGCTGGTTGTGATGGCACATCCCTGAAATCCAATCTACTCTGGAGAATAAGGTAGGAGGATCAGAAGCTCAAGGTCACCTCTGCAATTCAGGGAGGCTCTAAGCAACTTAAAAAAAAGGCACTCCCCCCCCCCAAAAAAAAAAGAAAATCCCACAAACCAAAAATGGAGAGAGGAGATTTTATCAAACTAAAAAGCTTCTTCACAGAAAAAAAATCAAAGAGTGAAAAAATAACATATAGCATGGTAAAAATATATGCAAACTATGTATCTGATAAGTGGCTAATATCTAAAATATACAAGTAACATAAACAAACTGAATAGCAATCAAACCACTCAGTTAAAAAAGGAAAAAGGACCTGAATAGATATATCTTAGAAGAATGGAAAACAGGTATATGGAAAAATTTCAACATCACTAATTATCAAAGAAATGCAAAATAAAACCATAAGGAGGTATCACCTATTATCAAAAAAAAAACACAAGATAAGAAATTCCAGTGAGATTTTTAAAAGAAATTATATTAGTATGCTGAGGAGATGTCATGACTTCCATGTTTACTGCAACACTATTCCCCATAGCCAAGATATGGAATCAACCTTACTTTGTATCACTGGATGAGTGGCCAAAGAAAATGTGGTATGTTTACACAACAGAGTACTAGCAAGCTATAAAAAGAAGAATCTTCCCATTTGAAATAACAAGAATGAACTTGGAGGACATTATGTTAAGAGACATTAGTTAGACACAGAAAAGAACAAATATCAAATGGTCTCACTTATATGTGAAATCTCAGAAGTTTCTCATAGAAGGGGGGGCTATACATCTGAATGAGAAGCCTCATACAGAGGCTGTGGAGTAGGAGAGAAATGGTGAAAGGTTGATTGATGGGTACTGAGCAATGGTTAGATAGAAGCAAGAAGTTCTGGCTGGCTGTTGCACAGTAGAGTGACCTTTTAATGATAATATACTTTGCATTTCAAAAAGCTAGAATAAAAAATTTTGAGTGTTTTCTATGAAGATATGATGTTTGAGGAGACAGATAAATTAACCCAATTTAGACATTATACAATGTATAAATGTATCAAAACATTCAATACTACTCTATTCATATGTACAATTTTATGTATCAGTTAAAAATTTAACTCTGAAAAGAACTGGATCTCATGGTTACTTGTGGCTGGGAATGTTGAAAGGTAGGTTGGGGAGATGTTCAAATGATACAAAATTTCAGTTAGATGGGGAGAGTGAGTTCAAGAAATATATCCTACAACATGGTGACTATAGTTAATAATATATTGTTGTCTTGAAAATTATTGAGTGAATGCAAAGTGTTCTTTGCACAAAGATAAGTATGTGAATTGATGCATTTGTCAGATTTGGTCAATTAGTCAGATTTGGTCAATCCACAATATATATACTTCAAAACATGTTGTACAAGAAGATTTTCTCTGTCAATACAAAATATAAAATCAAGAAAATTAAACGCCACTGATTGGATTTAGTAGTAAAACTTATACAGATAAATTTAACGTTCAGATTTTTGCTTTTACGTGATGATGACAAAAACTTCAAAATTGGACAAAAGATTTTTAAAATGTTGAAAAAGAATGGGAAAAAACTCAAACTTGCAATACTGAGAAAGTAAATAGTAGCTATAGTTTAGGAATAGTTTTTATAATGAAATAATTTCATGAATGCAAATCCAAAATATATATAGCACAACCTATAGCACAACATTCATCTTCTTTAGAGAAACAGACATAAAAGACATTAAACACAACATACCGATTTTAAAAGTACACTGGATTGTCATTGATACAGTATAGTTAAAGACAATAAAGATGGAATAGTAAAATTATTCCATTATATGATTGGAATACTACCTTAAACATTCAAATATTAAGAGTCCTACTTTTTTAACCAATGAGTAAGGTAATTTTCAACCCTTTATTTTTACTCTGATAATAGTATGGGATACTCACGTGGAATTTTATGTAGCTCATTCATGAATTTCTCCTTCAGCTTAGAAAAGGCATCTTCTTTTCCCTCTCCAGGACTGGCGGGCTCAGTGGCATTACTGGGTAGAATAGTCGCAACCGTGGTGACTGGCGGGGCTGCCAGGGCCTCATGATGACTCTCGCTCACCATTTTAGTTTCTGAGAAACTGTGAGGGGAGGGAAGCAAAGAAAAAGCAATTGAAAATGGCTCACCTGACCCCACATCAAAGGTATATCCGAGATGAAAACATCACAGGTCCCACCTGCTCACCGGCTAAATAGTCTGTCATTAGCATATTACTTTATGTAGGTGCATGAAATATTTATGGGACCACAGTGAGTGGAGAGTTCTTTCCCAGAGGGTAAGACCAGATGCAGCTACTGAATGGCATTCTCTCCCAATCATACTACTCAAACTGTCAAATCTCTTAGTAATTTATTTATACAGCCCATGTGTAGATTTAACTTCTAACCTGTATCTTAGTGAAATGTGTATGAAACAATTGTTGACAATATGCACACTCTACCCTCTAAACACATTATATCTTCTCAAAGGAAAAAAAGAGAGATATTTGTGTTAGAAATGGTGATGAGTCATAGCATACTTTCAAAATGGTAGTGACTTTTTAAATGGTTATAAATAACACTATTATAACATTGAGAGTCTCAGATATCATGAACATGATGCAGAAATTAGTTCTTGATTTCACTTATGGATATCAATTTTTTTTCCCAATCTTTTCAAACACTTTTTACATTTACTGTAGGCAATATTCTGATCAATAATTCACTTGTCTTGCTGGGTAATTTCTTTAGGTCACTGTGAATGTGGCATGATTGGCTACATTGACTATCAAGACACTGATGATGAAACATGACTTGTCTGTGTAATTATTTTAATTTATTTAGGTTGATCATGTCATTGAATTATTTTATTACGTTAATTTATTCAATTATCTTAAGTGCTTGTTTAATCTTCAAACTACTAAAAAACAATCCTAAGATAGGCAATGAAAATATCTTAGTCTTGAATTCTGAAGACATCAGTTCTAGTCCTCTTCACTAGCTAAATTAATTCTGACAAGGACCTGACTTCTTAATTTGTACCCCTTCTGAAATGTGAAACTGAACCTTGCCCTTTTCACATTTTTTTTAAAGTATAGCACATGTGAGGTGTTATATAAATGTACGAAAAGTATTCTAAAGGAGTAGAAATAAACTCATGTTCTGCAAACCAAAAATATTTGGGGCTTTAAAATTTAACTGTGTGATTTAAAATTTTGGGCCATGCTGATGAAAAAGGAGACATGACTTTGAGCAGAGATAGATAAATGTAAACAGGTCAGGGCAGGAATAACTTCACAGTCACAACAGGAAATTTGATGGGCAGGTAGAGACCTTTTGATTTGCCAGGAAATGCAGGTAACAGGCAAACACATAAAGGATTTTTATAGAATGCAAACCTTTTATGAATTAATTATGGATACTTACATATTTACTGAAAGAATAACTGAAATAGAATAATCTTAGGTGGATGGCATTATTAAAATCTTAATCAAAATCCAGAGATTTTAGATCTCCTGGAAGGAGATCATGGCTGAGGTTAATGTATACAAAGATAATCAATTTTTATTCCATAATTGGTTAGTTCTCTTTTCTAAGCCTTTAGTTTTTTGCTGTTAGCTAGTAATATATTCCTAAGGGATAGAATCAGAAAGATACAAATCCAGATCTCTTCTTTCATTTTCTTCATTTGGAAAAATGAGTATAATCAGGCCAACTACTTAAGGATTTTGAGTATAAAATGAGATAATCTATGCAAAGATTAAACTCAGCAGGTATCTGTCATATAAATTTGTTCCATCGATCCATCCATCCATGTCTCCATGAATTATCTTTAATAGCATTTAGCAGCCCAGAATTTCCCAAAGTGTGGAAACTTTCCATTTCTTAAAAGCTTTTCCTGATCCTGTTTAGCTTAGGAACCTGTATCCCTGAAAAACTTACAAGTCCCATCTGTACTCTTGGTACAACTTGGATAAAATTATTGATACTGATGAGGTCATGACTTTATATTTCATGAGTCAGACCAAAATTATAATATTCAAATATATGTATGAAATATTAGTATGTATATATTAAAAATACATGTATGAAATATTAGTATGTATATATTAAAAAATGAACTTCTTCCTCTGCCTTGAGAATCACCAATTGTGATTCATTTTATTTCTTATCTATACAGGATTATTGAGGATATTTGAGGAATTATGGTTTCCTATAGAATTTAAAGGAAATAATGTAGGTCAAGAAAATATAGCCAAATACAATAGTGACATGATTTTGCATATTGCTCCAACATATTATGGAATATAAGACATTTCTGCATATATTTGGAATATTATAGAGCTATGGAAACAATAACACTTTTGCTTAATAGAGTTAACATTTAGAAAATGTGCTTGAAGTTAACTCATCTTTTTAAGAAAACAAAATAATTGTTTCCATGATTACCAATTACATTCTTTGTAGACATAAGTGTCCTTGGAAGGTATTGAACATAGAAGTAAAAGCAGTAAACTTTTAACTCTTGCCATCCAATTATCCCTAACATTTCTAATTTGTTGTGAATTAAGAAATGATTATAAGAAATATAGACAAGGCTTAGAAATATTAAAGCATAGTTCTTATACTACCCCCATGAAAGAATTAATTATAACCCATTTCATAGGTGAGGAAACTAAGGTATAGGGAGGTTATGCATGTGGTTGGAAGTTGTACAATAGTAATTACTGGAATTGGGATTTGTAGTATTAAGGGAATTGTACTCAATAAGATAAATATCTAATAATATCATGTGTTGTTGAAGGAGCTCTTAAATACAACTCATAATAAGAACTACATTTTACAATGTGATCTAGTATACACTCTCTGCCTGCATGTTATATACTGAACAATTTAATATAAACAAATTTACTATTGTAAAATACCCTGACACATTCAATTTTACTCTATTTTTCACTAAAAATTTTAGTTGTACCTCCACATGGTGTTCCTTAGTTTCATAATTCACTAATGGTTTCAAACATACAATTTGAAAAATCATGACAGAATGAACATTCTTAAGCTACAATAACACTGATGGGGCTAATAACTAAAGATGTCATTAGGTACCTACTAGGTGTCAAAATGCTATCATTAATATTTAAGTATAGTAACTTCAATTACCATATTGCCCTGAAAAGTGACTTATTCCTTTTTTAAAAATAGTTTTTAAATTGTAAATGGACCTTGTATTTTATTTATGTATATGTAGTACTGAGAATCAAACCCAGTGCCTCACACATGCTAGGCAAGTGCTCTACCACTGAGCCACTTATTCTTAATTTATGAAAAAGACTGATACGCGACTCTCCAGACAAATGATCTGTCCTTCACAGATTTTTGACAGATCCCAGGTTCTTTCAACTGGACTACTCTAATAACACCACTTAAGTATTATCAAACAATTAAATTGGTACTAAAGAAGTATTTATGATTTTCATTTTAATTAACTTACCAGTAAATAGAAAATATACTTCATCTTACTAATAGGAAACAGACAACTTAATTTTAGAGGTATAGATGTTTGGTTTGTTAAAGTGGAATTTAGCATTCTCAAATATGCCCCTCTCCCCCCTAAAAAAGCTCACTGTTGGATGGAAACATACATTCTCTTCTAAATTCAGCAGAAAGCATGTGATTAAGAAATTTCCAAAGAAATACCAATTCCCCTCCCTCTTTATAAAAACAAAAAGAAAAAATTAGTAAAAGTGTTTAATTTCACAAAATTATCAAAAAAAACTAAAGATTAAAATAACTAGTATCTTTATTTAAAATTTTGCCTAATGAAAGATCATAAGTGAAGGTGAGAGTACAAGGAACTGGATAACTGAGGAGGAGGAGAAATTAGTAAAAACTCCAAAGACAGCTAAGTAAAAGACCAAAATCTTTAACAGTGCTCATTCTTATTGTAGGAATTCTTGATAAAGAGTTAATCTTGGATGTACAAATTATTCAGTATAGAGATATTTATAGTAAAATTATAATATTAGAAGTACCAGAAATTACCTAACAGAGAGATTTCTTAATTATGGTAATCTAAAAAATGATGCTATTAAAATTACCCTAAAGATTAATATCTACAATCTGAAAACACATGGGAGTTAAATGAAAAGTGCAAATTATGAGACATTATGGAATATTTCATTTTTCTAAACAACAACAAAAAATCTTTTGTAGAAAAGATGCTGGAAAGATACATTTAAAAATGTTGACCTTATGGTGGAATATCCACTTCTCTCATGTTACATTTTCCATATATTATAAACCTGAATAATTTTAAATTACAAATAGCCAAAAAACAAACAAACAAACAAAAAAACAACAAACAAACTCCTGTCTTTAGCATTCATTGTTATGATCTTGAGAAAACTGGATTTTGCAGAATGGGTTTAATTTACCAATGCCAGATTAAAAAAAATACTTTAAAATGTAATCAAGAAGCTAAATTTCAAGTATGAACAATGCAGCTACATATTTAACAAGTATTGTATACAAAATGGTCAGTGATTAGAATACAATGTACAAAAAATGTTAAGGCATCATAAAGGTTAATACTTTTGTGGTATAAAATGAGGAAAATCAAGATTTTTGTTGCCATGACAACTCCCTACTGGCCCCTTATATTTATTCTTCCTACTAGGACTTTAATTATGTCTATCTCTAGATCTACAAATTGATATAGATTTCTCAGATTGTATAGTGAGATAGACTACTCTAATGCATAAACATAATGATTTCTAGAAAAAACACTGTTTCTATCTCTATTTAAGTATTGTATTTTGTAATAATAGCATGCAAAATTAAAGAGCAATCAGGAGAAGGTCAAAGAAATATTGAAAAAAATATTCTTACTCAAACAAAAGAACTCTATGCACAAAAGCTCCAAACTGAAAGTAACTCTTGGAGTAGTTATTAAAAACAGTCGGGGAAATTTTGTGGAATGTGTTAAATTGTATTTTAAGGTAGAGGGCAGGATGTAGTGATTTTCTTTCATCAGCTTGTCATAGTGGTCGATGGAAACTGTAAGTGGATGCCACACGCATCCTT